ATTACGGAATTTGCAAGATATCTGGGTCAGAAATTGTTAGCTGAAACATGTAAAGCATTTATGTAGATTCAGCTGTAATGGAATTTTCAGTAGCTTAATTCATCAATAAGTCCATCAAATTGCACACAAAACTGACAACTCTCTAATGCCGCCTGCCTAATTATTAAAAATTTGATAAGAACCAAGTTGGATTTTTTTTGATGAACACTTGCTTCTAAAGTTGTCCTGTTTTTCTGAATTTATACACGTTTTATGAGATTTCTTTAGCATCCGTTGCCACTCAAGTGAAAATGAAACATTTTATAACTTCCTTAGCTAGTTGCGTTGAGTGTGTTCTAGAGCAGGATTCAAAACAATGTTGCATGTCAGAATTTATGTATTCCAGATAAAAAATAAATTAGTCAGGTTCTGACATGCATAACTCATAAATGCCATAACTGTTAATTCCAATTCTTGCCTCGTTTTACTACATATGTTCAAGACTTCACAGATGGTAAAATTAAGCCCAAGGTACATCAGAGAAATAATATCGCTGTAAGCAATTCACACTACCATAAAGTTTACAGAGTGTTTTTACTATGCTCATTATATAATTATACATTAAAGACTAGTAAACACATTCAAATATTCCAGTAAAACCACTGTCATGGCAAATAGAGAATGTATTAATACACCAACAAATTGCTAGTACCGGTAATCTCCATAGGAGAAACTTTGCCAGAGAAGTAAGCAACTTGTATACATGGTCAGGGTTTGAAAATTCATAGAGGCATCAAATGATTTGAGTTCAATGAGTTTCGTGTCCCTTGTTAAAAAGATATTTTTATATGCTGAACCAGACTTATCAAAATTGGCCATGAAACTTGAAAGTTCAAGTTAGAATGTGTTGATGTATGAACAGTGATGAAATAGAATAGGCATAGAAAATTGAGACACAAAATAAAGTGAAAATAAAAAAAATACATTTGACTGACTTGAGCGATTCAGTTAAAGGAAGAAATATAAAACAATTCTATGTATCAAATTACTTCTGATATAAATACAGTGACACATCACTTCTGTAAAGTACATTGTAGGTTTGGTATTACATGAAAACTATACAATGTGACTTGTTTGTTGTGAATTATAGTTTCTTGCAGTGTGTTAGTGACAATCTCCATATAGAGATACCGTCCATACACCCGTCTATAATGACCATTTTAATGAAGTCTCCCGAGTGGATCACAGTTGACAGATTTTGCACTATTTTGAATACAAGGAAGTATAGAATAGGCACTCGGGAATTCAGAACGAGTTGATAGTGTGCATAAATATGCTTAGGAATGGAGCAACAACAGAACTCTATTTCATCAGAAATTCATGCATAAACATAAAATGCCAAACCTGCTTTTATATATATATATATATATAAATTATTTTTACCTAAAAAAATATCTACAATTTCTGGAGCTGAAAGATTTGCATTTCTTTTTGTATATGAATTTTTGTTTTGCAATTCTGGAAATTGCCTACTAAACTTGTCTTGGGTATCGATAATACTGACAAGTTGCAGATATTATTGTGTGCGTTTCAATTTAATAGAATTTGTTAATAATGATATCCCTAAACAGTCATGTTTTGTACGTGTGCAACAAATGGCAGACACTTCAAACCCTGTACATTCACCCTGGGACAAAGATCAGTCTGGGTGCAGAAACTAATTTGATATTATTGAGTGTCCTGGCAGTGATGCTTATTGTCTCTTACGTTATTGAAAATATGAAATCCAAAAAGGAGAATACATTTTTGTTGAGAAGATGAGCAGAAAGTGCCGAAATCTTCGTAAGAATGAGACAGCCTAATGTTTCATTTTCGTCTATCTCCACTGTTCCAAATACCTTGGTTGCAAAGATAAGAGCAATCATGGAACGTGATGATAGGAGAGAGAGAAACACTATTTGACGCGTTGCTCTCTCGTTCTCAACAAATTCTCGGTTGCCATTTGCGTCTAACTATTGAAAATTTCCATACATGGTTTGGTTGTTTTTTTTTGGGGGGGGGGGGGCAATTTGAATTATAATTGCAAACTATATCCCATAATAAATACAATACATGGTAAATACATGTAAATAAAATAATTGGATGACAAGCCCAATACATCTGATTGGCTTAATGACTTTAATCTAATCCTACAGCATACTTCACAAAATTAAAACGGTAAATGAAAATTACTTTTTTAAAGTTCCAATTTTGTGCCAGCTGTTGAAAAAATGAGTTTCAAGATAAAAAAAACTGCAAATTTGTTGTTAATATTTAAAAATCAATCATAAGACAAACACTTTCAATACATATATTCTTCTTTTTTTTTTAATTCATTCTATTTACCAATATTTACATAAATTCCCTAAATTAGTGTTCTTGCTTTATTGCTTTTTTCCTGCTCGGTCTTCAATGTCTTGTTCTCGTTTCTCAATATCTTTTTCAAGATTCTCGATATTCTCTTCTTTGCTAATTAGGTCCATGATCTCACCAATCTGCTTGGTGTTGAGGTCAATTTCTTCTTTAGCAATCAGTTCAATTGTCTATAACAAAGAAACATGAAAATCCACTACTTAGGTGATGGGAAACACATAATTCAATTGAACTAGAATAAGTATTAGTATCCGCATCAATCCATATAAGGAAATTTGAATTCCAAATGGGGAAAACTGTATGATATTTCTAGGATGACAGGTATATTCCACAACAAAATTCATAATGAGAGGCAATACCATGTTGCAGTGCGAGGCCATACCACCTTGCAGTGCGAGGCAATACCACCTTGCAGTGCGAGACCTTGCCACCGTGCTGTCAAAAAAGAGGACTACTAATTTGACCCATACGCAGTCTCAATCAAACTGGATATAATAGAATATGCATGTTTTTTTCTCATATCAGTTTCCTGATCATTTTATGTGCCTTTAATGGTAAACAACAGTTGCTGAGTCCATCCCCTTTGGCAATTTGACCTCATATCCTTTTTAGCTCCGCTGTCGACTTTGTCGAGCGGAGCTTATCATACGAGTGATTGTCCGTGTCAATATTTTACTTTTTCGACTTCTTCTTGAAAACTACAAGCCTGAATGCTTTGATACTTGGTGTATATGTACAAAGGGTTGACCTATCTCAGATTTGTTCATTTTGTAATGATATCTTTAATTCTCTAATTTTAGTGAATATTTTTGGTAAAAAAACCGCAAGTCCAATTGATTTTATATTACATATATAGGTACTACATGTGGACCTCTCTCAGATTTGTTCATTTTGTGATATTTTTAATTCTCAAATTTTAGTGAATATTTTTGTGATTTTTGGTAAAAAGTGATATTTTCAACTTCTTGTTAAAAACAGCAAGTCCAATTGCTTTTATATTACATATATAGGTACTACCATGTGGACCTCTCTCAGATTTGTTAATTTTGTAATGATATCTTTAATTCTCGAATTTTGGTGAATATTTTTGTCATTTTTGGTAAAAAGTGATATTTTCGACTTCTTGTTAAAAACCGCAAGTCAAATTGCTTTGATATTACATATATAATTACTATATGTGGATCTCTCTCAGATTTGTGCTTTTTGTGATGATATCTTTAATTCTCTAATTTTAGTGAATATTTTTGTCATTTTTGGTAAAAAGTGATATTTTCGACTTCTTGTTGAAAACAGCAAGTTCGATTGCTTTTATAATACATATATAGGTACTACATGTGGACCTCTTTCAGATTTGTTAATTTCGTTGTGAAATCTTCAATTATTTAATTTTTGGTGAAAAGTGATATTTTTGACTTCATGTGGAAAACCGCAAGTCCGATTGCTTTTATATTACATATATACGTACTACGTGTGGACTTCTTTCAGATTTGTCCCGTTGCTTTTTATATATATATATAATGCATTTTCTAATGATATCTTCAGTTCTTTAATTGTAATGTGCATTGCTAACAGCGGGGCTATCTCAGCCGAGAGGCTGCTTGTTAGTTTATGTTCGACCTTTCATGCATCCATGTATGTATTCACACTTGTATCTCGAACATCTCACCACAATCATGGACTTGCAAGTTTGTGTATCGATACATTTACATTTAGTGTGTACACAGTAAACAAGGCTTACCTAAGTAATATTACTACCAAAGTGAAAGATAAAAATGTTGCTATATAAGGTTACCTTGACAACATCTTCTAATCTAATGATACCATCATGATCTTCATCCAATACGTCAGCAATCCTACGGAGTTTAGCTTCATCTGGGACCACCATTAGTTTATTTATTGCCTCTACAAGTTCTTCTATACTCACAATCCCTTCTCTATTTAGATGAAAACAAACAAACAAACAAACAAACAAGAAGACATACATTACTTTAATTTGTAGTTCATTTTTCCACTATGTTTAGTAAACATAGTGAAACTACTGGAAGCTTGTGTGTTTGTAACTCATAAGTTTCAGTAAAAGTATAAGTTATGGTAAGAAATAAAATAACATGTTACATTGCAAAGTGAGGTGCAATCAACTTACTTGTGATTATCAACCCTCTCCTGAGCTTCCTCTTTGAGTGTACCCTCAGAAGATTCCATCTTTTCTTTATGCAACTTGAATTCCTTTTGAAGAGACGACTTCTCCTTCTCCAGTTCACCAATGATATTATTCATACTGGCAATCATGCGGTTAACTTTCTTACCGAGTCTCTTGCTGGCCTTTGACTCTGTCAGATCCTTACCTTCTATCTTGGCAACTGCTTTCAAATCTTTAACATCCTATAGAGAAAATAAAAAGACATAAATTAAAGATGAAAATCTATTTTCATCAAGGAAGCTAATTCCAAAGTTTTAAATAATGTTAACAATTATTTTTGAAAAGAGTTCAAAGGTCAATGTTGAGATATTGACATAAAATGAACTTTCACCTCTTTGTATTCCTCAACCTCTTCTTTCAGTTCTTCCAGTTCCTCTTTCTCTTTTGATACGATTTGTTTCTCTGCTTGCAAACTACAGACGGCTTCACTGAGAATCTTGATATCCTCCTTAGTGACCTCTTCTTTGAGTTCCTCTTCAGCTTTGTCAGTAATAACTGGTGCTTTATCGACTAACTCCTCCTTGTCAGGTCGGTATAGTAATGGTAGCTCCTTCTGCAAACATATGGACATACTGAGTCACCTAGACAAAATTATTGTAAATACTCCACTAGAGGGCGCCCTGGCAAAAATAAGCTACTGATACTTTCATACAATATGCTATATCAATACACAAAGTCTTGTAGGTTACATTCGCACATCAATCTACATTGGAGGGTTGTTAAAAATAAATGAATGATTGAATGTTTTCCTCACACAGTAGACAGTGAACAAAGTGAAATATTTTAACATAAAAAAAACCTAACAGTGTTATTTATAATTTTTGTGCATGTATTTCGATAATTTTTGCAATCAACCATATCCCAGTGTTTTGAAGTTATATTGACATACCGATCCTGCCTGGTATGTGTTTTTATGCATTTTTAAGCACAGACAAAGAACAGTACTGAGTCTGTCATTTAGATTCAGAGATACTGAAGTTGTTATAAATAGATCATTCTGCTTAATACATTTAAAAAATATTACCCTATTGTAATGTTACTCTTATGAAAAAATATTCTGAACATGCAGAGACCACATTTACTAACCACACAGTGATTTTTAAGTTGTGACACAATGTTGAATTGTGACACTAATACATATCTGCTAAAAACATACAGTCCTTATTTTTATTTGTAAGATCATGTCTTGCAATGAGACACTGCCATTATTATCGCTTAGGTCATTTCCACTGTTTCATTATTATCTATATCATTATTTCTTGTGGCATTTTTACTGCACACCCATCCTCTGGGATGAGTCAGGTATAGGTGCAATTAATATTGATAACATATATTAAAACCCAATTTTACCAGAGAGGTTGTCAATCCAATCCAAACTTTTCACATTGTAATACCGTACTCGACCGCGTTAGCGCCCATGCCCGGGGCAAGCGCCCACCCCCCACTTTTGTGCAATTTTTATATTTGGGGTCACATTCGGCAAAGCGCCCACCCCTTCAAAATGCAACTAATTTAAAACTTGGTCTTGCGTAACGAATCTTGGTAATCGTTTTTATATGATACAGCGTGGATATCGATCGCTGTGAACATGTTGTGAATGCGTAGAACACGGTAACTACGCTTCGACAATGACCTGTTAATACAAGTAAAATGCGGTAAATATTTCATGCCATATTCAGTTTACCTCTCAAAAATGGCTAGTTACTAGTTTTTTGGAAAAACTATGTCGTTTATTCGCTGAAATCAATTCCAACAGATCGTACTTCGACATCGATAATTCACTTCCGCATTGCGTTACCGGAAAGTCTTCGAGAATTTCCGAAGAATTGCGTCAGTACAACACAGCATTGTGATTGGTTAATAACCAACTTGACCCATTAGGTCAAAGGACGCCGCTGCAGGTGAAATCTGCAAATGCATCATGGCGGAAAGTGATTTTCATCGAGAGTTTGCGTACGATCCAACACCTTCGTCAGTGGAGATAATATGACAATTTTGACTTCGACTGTGTTCCAACAGACTCAAATGTTTTTAATTTCGTAAATTCTGGTGGTACGTAATTAATATTGTAATAAAATGTGCATATTTTTTGTGATCATTTCTATTCCTTCATTGTGAAAATCAATGACGACTCAACTAATTTCGTAATTTGATTTCCCTCAAAGACGTAATCTGTCACAAGATGAATAACATTTTTCATTTGCACTCTTTTTTGAGGGGGGTGCTCGGGTAAGCGCCCACCCCTAAAAAGTCGTGATTTTCTGAGTTGAGGCCCCTGGGCGCTAACGCGGTCGAGTACGGTAATAGACAATTCAGGAAATCTAATGTGAATATCGCATATATACAAAATGTATATAATAAAATACTATTAATGTTCAGCAGACTCACCAGCATTTCACCATCATCTGGTGTAACCACAGTAATTGCTGCAGCCAGTTCTTCTTGCTGTGTAAAGAAGAAGAAAAGACATAGGATTATGAAATCATGTCATGTCATTATGTCATGAGATACTACAACATGTATCAGAATTATTGGGAAGTAAGTTTGTAAACTAGCAGGTAGCTCAATAACATAATAATAAGGTTGGCTCCTTAATCTTGATCACGTCAGTTGATTGACACAACTTTTTCTAGGATTCCCCATATCAAAGGTTGATTTATACGAGTTATCAAGTAACCATAGTTACTTGCAATCTCACTATCAATAATTTGAAGAACACGTATAGACAAGGTTGTATCAAAATGTTTCATTAAATTACAGCGAGCGCAAGATATTTACGTACACCTAACTCGCGCACCCACTAGGTAATTACCGAGGGACTTTGCAACATCCCCAGACACTTTGCTAGACGCCCCAACGACCGTTGTAGACGCAATAAAGTTACATACACTCTCACGTGACAGTTAATCAAAACACCGGACGCGGTATGCCTTTGATGTGTGGGCACGAGGAACAGGGGTAGTTGGAATATTCCATTGCTTTGTAGGTATAACAATCATTGCTGTGTAACACTTGGAAGAAATATAATACGAACATAAAACTGGAAATGAATATTAACAAGAAACGTTAAAAGTAAATTCCTTCGATTGTTAGTTTGTTGTCAATGGGTTTATACACAGTCCTATTAAAAATATTATCATTGTGAGTGTCGCGTTTGCGCATAATGGCATGTCCCATTGCCAGTTTGCCATACAGCGCCCAGTCAGTCTTTTCCCAGGAATCTTCTACTTTATAGTTTTACATACTAGTATTAGTATATAGTATGTACCATCACCATGTACCAGTTTCAAATATCGTTCAGATCTCGTGTTTTGCA